ACAGGCTCGCACCTATTCGCTAGAACTGGTTGTTAACATTCTAAGCAGTTCAGAGAACCTGTTGTTAGAAGAAATTACTGGCCTAATCCTGTAAGGAAGGCAGGAAGGAAACATTCTGTTGTTGCTTACAAAACTGCCTCTCCGTTAACCCTTATTACATTCTTGGCAGGACTAGACTTCCTATCTCAGGAACATCTCTGGAGTTTTTTTCCCCTCCTTTGCTGGTACTTTGCTTGTGTGGAATGACCATTGAAAAAAGTGACTTATGACCGTTTTTCACACTTACGACTGTTGCAGCATCCCCACATTCACAAGAGGCCAGGCAAGGAGATGCATGCCTCGATGTGAGTGATGTTGATTTGGCCATGCCCAACTGGTAACATGACCACCAAGCCATGTCCACCCAGTCACATGACCACTAAGCCACACCCACCAACTAAGCCACGCCCACAGAACCGGTTGTTAACAAATTTGAATCCCACCCCTGGTTTAGTTCATACATCTGTATAAAGCAACTGTTCTTTAGAACAAACCCATTGGTTTTTCTGGCTTTGAATCTCATATTTAAGCTGCTAAACTAACAATTAATTATGGGGACATTTCACAGAACACCTTCCAAAAATAAAAACTTACAAATTAATACATTTCAGATTTAGAGGTATTTGTGGGGTAAATCTATTTCCTGTGATATTCAACTGATACCTGCTGTATTCATAAGATCTGCTGACAAAAAGATGATTTGCAGTTCTATATTTTTAGCTTGTGGAATGCCGTGTGGGGCTTTATATTTTATTTATTTATATTTCATATTTCTTAACCGCTCATCTCCCTCAGAGAGGAACTGTGTATTTTGTTACATTTTCAGGTAGCCCTTGATTTATGACAGGTAGCTTAACAACTGTTCAAAGTTAGGTTGGACTCAAAAAGTTAATTTATGAACCATCCTTGTAGAATTGCTGCACCATCCTCCCAGTCACATGACTGCATTTTGGTCACTTGGCAACTGGCTTGTATTTATACCCAGTTGCAGCATCCAATGGTTATGGGATCATATTTTGCAATTCTTTTGCCATTTTCCAGCAGAAAACACCCATTTGATAAACTGGATTCTGACTTCAACCATATGATTCACTTAATGACGAGTTGCTTAACAATTCTGGTGAATAGTTTAAAAATAGCCATAAAATTGAGTCAGGTCATGTGATAAATCAACTTAGTTTTTTTGCAAAAGGACAATATTTTAGGCCATACAGCAATCATTATCTCCCCCTCCATTTAGTTTTAGTAGGACAGTTAAATAATCCTCTCAATGTGATTGCAGAGTTGTAGCAGTTAAGGGCTGAAGTACATTTTACATCTGAAGACATATACTTTTTATCTCAACAATAGTTAAAAGAAGTTCCTCATCCTGGGACTACTCTTCTTTACAAATTATATTATTTTTCAACCATCTTAAACCATCCTTTTTCTAAAAAAGGAAACAGGAAAAAGGGAAGGTTTAATCACCCTTGTATTCTATTGTACCCTTCTATAAGGCATCCTTTCTAGACATTTTGTAGAAGGCACTACTGAATTTTATTGCTCCATACTTCACTATTAATATTAGGCCTCCTTACAATACCCTCTCTCTGGGCACCAAGACATTATTCTGAGTAAAAGCTGGGTGGTTCCCAGTTCATAAGCCAAGCATATTTATAGTTGCTGTAGGAAGAGCTGGTTTACTCTGGGTTTTCTCCTGGATTCACAATTCCTGTTGGCACAAGTAAAAACTGCCTTGGAGATCTTTTGCCTGGCTGTGACTGCACCAGGAGACATGGCTAGGTCATTGCATGCTCAGGTCAATGTCAATTCCTATTTGGACTACTGAAATTCTCTCCACATATAAACTAATTAGCTTGGAGCCTGATTATCTGCAACACCATATATTCAAGCAAAATCTGCATGTCCAAGTCAGGCTGGTGGAGTGCGTACTCAGAGTCCTGACCTCCAGTAAGATGAGGTTAAGAGGGGAACTGGGGCAAGCATTTTTACTGGAGCTCCTTTGCTGTGGAGTATGGTATCTTCAGTAATAAAAGAGCTGTATCATCATTCCTGATATTTTAGATCAGTGGTCGCCAACCGGTGGGCCAGGGACTACTGGTGGTCCCTGAGAAAATTTTGGTGGTCCGCAGAGAAATGTCCCCCCCAAAGCACTCCTCCCAAGCAATCCAGGCTGTGTGGGAACACAAGGCTGCCCCATCCACATGCCCCACCCACCCGCTGGCCCCCACCCTTCGGCCGAGCACAAACCTTACCTTGAGTAGAGCCATGCAAGCTGGAACTGTAAGGTAAGACCAACGGCGGGGGAAGGAAATCCGCCCCGGGGTGGCTTGCTGACATTGGTGGGAAAGTCAGTCCCATATTCCAGAGCTGCAAGTCACAGGATGGCCCTTTGGTCATCCCAGTCCATGGTAGGCTGGTGCACCCCAGTGGAGGAGCAGCTGCTCCGGGATGACCAAAGGGCCAATCCTGTGACTGCTGCAGCTCTGGAATATGGGACTGACTTTCCCACCAACGTCAGCAAGCCACCGTCAGTCAAAATTCATATTAGTGGTCTGTGGGATTTAAAATTATGAGATGGGTGGTCCCTGAGGTCCAAAAGGTTGGCGACCCGTTTTAGATAGCTTTGCAAAACGTGCCATTTTCAAAGTGTATTTGAGAGCCAAGTAAGCCAAAAATATGCTTGAGATAGATGATGCCGTTTCACGATGGTTACAATATACAAAATAATCAACACAGGGTATTTTCTACTGACTATTGCATTAGCAATTTGTGTGCTCCTTGTAAGGCCATATAGATCTGAATGGCTGAAGGGGTATAAGAAATACTTACTTAGAAATAAAAATCTAACTTCAAATGGATGAAACTATTTCATGAAAGCCTCTCACCCCAATGAGAATGGAAAGCAGCAGAAACCTAGTCTGGTTTCTGTTTATTGGGGGGGAAAGCTTTAGAAATAAAATATTAACATAGGTGTACTGAACTCCTGACATTGACACAATAACAGCAAAAACAAGTCATATAGGAGTAGAAACATTTTATTACAAGTTTTCCAATACAGGCTCAGTGATCGCTGGTTGAGACTCTTGTTGCAAGAGGAAGAGAGGGCTTCATACTGCTTTACTAAGGAAGCATATCTTGCAATACATGCCCTTCAGGAATATTTTAGTGAGGTAGAGAATATTTCCCTCACTACATAAAAAAAAATATAGAAAAGCACAGTGAAGAGATAATCCAAATTCTAAAGATTTTTATTTATTCAAAAACCCCATGTATTTTATAAAGATATAGAACTTGTCACGAGCAATTATTTCGACTAGTAAACCAAGGATATGCACAATGAACGCTTTGTGTATATACCCCCAGAATGCTAATTGACAGGAAGTTCTGTGATACAAGTGGAGATGCTTCAGATTCTTAGGTGCCAGTTGGTATAAAGGTCTTTGAAAGGCGATCACAGTTCTAAGACTTGAGACACTGATTGGTAGAAAGATTTGAAAGGAAGGGGAAAACTCCAGATTCTAAAATGTTGATTAGCTGGAAAGTGCTAGGATCCTCCAAGGGCGGTGCCAGGAGGAAGCGAGTGTTACGTACGGGCATTGCGCTCTGTCTCTGCCAGACATTCTCTTACTAGCGCCCGGGCATGAATAATGCCTGCAGAAAGAAAGTCCCAAAAGTAAGACATGCTGAATAATGGATTTCAAAGTAGCAACACAAAGCACAAAGTATGTGACAGAATTTGCAACTGTAGCATCTTCCACATAAAACATTTATATATACCCTATCAATTCAAGATCAATCAAGAAGATATAAGGCAAAATGCAGATATGTGGGTTTAAATAAATCAGAAAGTACAAGGCACTAACTGGTAGCAATGCAGTACACAACATAAGGAACTGATGTACAGCTGTCTTGCAGAAACAAATCAACGTTTCCCTACAAGCTAGGTTTATACCTGCTGGGTATAGATTCTAATCTAGCAGGTTTTACCTGTTCCTACTGTGGCACAGCTATTTGCGCTAGTGAGAACTGATTTGGCTTGAAATACTGAGAGTTCTGGCCTTAGGGTTAGGGAGTTCTTTTCATTCTTTCCTTAGCAAGACTAGAACTAAACCAACTTTCAATTACAAACTCAAAAGTCATGACTTGGAAGAGTTAATTGGAAATTGCCACAATAGTCACCTATTATCATTGCACAACATTGTATTTAAGAAGAGGTAAGTTTGCAGAACTTCTGGGAAAGTCAGCCACATACATGTGAATTTAAAAGGAACTTAACAGTTTCATCTAGTGCCAGCTCTGACACGGCAAATTTGAGTAGCTGCACAAAAATGAGTACTACTCATGTACAATGATGAAGATGCTTCCTACCTCGCTTCAGCCGTTCCATAGCGCTCTTGCTACCTGCGTATGTAGGTCGTATCTCTTTGCCCATCTCTTCAATTACAGAAAGCAAATCTGTATACGTGCTCTGGGAACCTTGGGCACCTGGTGGCTTCATAGCCTGCAAGATCAACAGCAGAAATCAAAAACAGGATCCTTCTTCTATTATTTCCATCAATGGGCAAGACCCTCCTCATCCTTATGTGCTCACCTGCACGTAGCCCATAGATGGGGGCCCAAAATCGTTGAAGAGAGGTCGAAAGGGGGCAGATGCTCCAGGAATAGAACCAGATGGTGATGGAACACTGGTAGCTGAAAAATAAGTGATGGCATTAAACTTGCTAATCTAAATTCTTGGGGCTATGAACTTCTTGTAAGGGGGATAATACTGTAATTTTGTTGTGGAAACAACTAAAACAATAATGGAAGGATTTGTTTTGAGTAAACTAAGGTTTTTATTTATTTATTTATTATTTTATTTTGTCAAGTGATTATTAGATAACAGGTATAAGTATAAACATGGTTATGAATACATGAAATGGATATGAATAAGGAAAAAAAAAGAAACAATAGGACAGGGAATTTGATTCTCAAATGACAAAACTTCTATTTGAACAATTCTGTAGTACTGTTGACATAAATCACAACTCTTCCAGTTGAGTTTTATTGCAACTTGTCTATAATCTAAAATAGGGGAAAGGGAATTGGGTGTGATTATTTTTGTATAGATCAAAAACAATATAATGTTAATCTTGGAAATCGGCCACCAACTTCAATCAGTTAAATGAAAAGTTGGTTTTGCTGTTCAAAACATTCATTTCAACTCAAGGACGTAATTAACCAATGCACAATTTTTCATGAGTTAAAGAAAAATGTTAATTGCATGATTTCTTCTTCCTATCATAAATACATAACAAATAATTATGCAATATGTCTGAATATGTTACTTTACAACTTTGGGGCACTTATTTGAAAATTATATATATATATATATATATATATATATATATATATATATATATAT